TGAACCACAGGAAACAAACTCCATAACATCCTGATAGTACTCCATAACATCCTGATAGTGCATAACATAACATCCTGATAGTACTCCATAACATCCTGATAGTTCATAACAAAACATCCTGACCAGGATTTGACCATATATAGACAGAACTTAGCAGTAGATTAGCAATTGTAGTTTTACAGGCTGTCTTTAATCACATGTTGATTGCTCCTCCTGCCTTTGTCCTATCTCAATAAAAGGGGCTACCAGACACCATTCTGGGTCGCTCCATCCCGAGATAGATCATGTCCGTGTCTTTTCTCAACATTGGCCTCATGGACGAACCACGGGTACATCACATTTGGTAGCAGAGGATGGTTACTTCGCAGTTCTTATCTATAGAAAGTCTGTCCATCGCCACATTAGATTTTCTTGATTTATATTCCCATCAAAATATTCTTTGTCATGTTTGAAAATAAAAGGAAACATTTAAGCCATCTGTCAGGAATAAAATCAGAGGCTAAGGGGCATTTGTATATGTAAATTGTCCCATGTCAATGCATGTATCACTGCAAAGTTGAAATTTTGATTTATGCAGATTATCAGAAAAAATATTGCGATTCTATAAACTAGAAATGAAGGACTGTGTGCTGAGTGCTACAATTCTCCATGCAAGCAGCAAATACTATACATGTAATCGTCAACTTAAGACCAGAATTCAGTCCACAATTTGGGTTGTAAATTGTTGCAGTCATTAAGTAAGATACCCGTGTGATTGCCTTGTTCAATGACCACACTGTGGTTGTTAAACCGGGTGCCTCAGGGGACAGGGGAGGCCCCAGTGCTGGTATGTCCAAAGACTAGAAAAGTACCAAGCCTCACAATGTTCTGAAGGCTCTTTCTAGCCTTTGGAAAATAATAATAGTAATAGTGGTAATAGTAACAACAACAACAATGAATCAAAATAACATGAAGTATTAGTACCACTTTATAAAATCTTAGTAAGACCACACCTGGAATACTGCATCCAGTTTTGGTCACCAGACAATGAAAAAAGATGTTAAAACTTTGAAAAAACTGCAAGGAAGAGCAACTAAAGGTCTGGAGACTAAAACATATGAAGAATGGTTGCAGGAATTGGGTATTGGCTAGGCTAGAGAAAAGAAGGACTAGGGTGACATGATAGCAGTATTCCAGTATTTGAAGGGCTGTCAGTTGAGGACCCCCTGTAGTCACTTCTAGCTATTTCCTTCAATGGAAATGGAGAACTCTATTTTTTATAGCACTGGTGTTCTCCTAAGTTTTTTTTTCCAAAATCAGCAAGGATGAGAAGGATGAGTAAATTATGAAAAACTGAAAGAAAAAAAATCAATTATTTGTATCCTGCACAAGTTATTATACTTCTTGCTATATTCAAAATATAGAACATTCATTGTTTATTCCAGATGTTAGCCAGCCATTTGTTTCTCATGATATTTTTCTTGCTAAGAAAATCTATTTAAATAGGTATAGGTATAGGTATAAATTTGAAATCAACTCCTCTGAGAATACATAGATTTTTTCTTCTGGCAAAAAAATGCAGAATAATCCTGCTCCACCTAATAAATGACTAAACTGGTATGAAAGAGCTTAACCCATAATTTATACCCAGAATTTCATATGTGGAAACCCAATTAAGAGTATACTGAAAATAGCAGAACTAGTAGAACAAGAATCATCTTTAAGAAAGAAGGCAAAATCACACTACAACTTTTAGCTATGGAATGATGGACTTCTACTGCTGCTCCATCTCTCACTTTCATAGGTACAAAACTGAGAGATGACTTTAAAATGTGGTGGTATTCTTAAGGTGACCAGATT